GAAGTAGAAGTAGAAGTAGAAGCAGAGGTAGAGGTAGAAGTAGAAGTTGAAGTAGAAGTAGTATTAATAGGAGAATAAGAGTTAGCACTAGCAGCAGCAGTAGTAGCAACAGTAGCGGCAGTAGCAGTCGCAGTTGCAGTAGCAGCAGCAGCAGCAACTCTAGCAGCAATAGTACTCGTCGTCGTCGTCGTCAATCTGACACATGCGTTTAGCCAACAGCCGAAGCACAGAGGAGGGTCGCATCAACTCGTCCAAAAGTCTCAAGCCAGCGCAAGGCCGGACAGCCGAGGCAACCCTCCCGCAAATTGTTCACGCCTCGTCCGGGATTGTGTCCTTGGACTTGGAGCGATCGATGCGCGCCCAAAACCTCAAGGTCACAAGTTGAACATCTGCACCTGTGACCTTCCCCTTTTTGCTCCAACCCTAATTGCGTCTAACCCCCAGACCTCAGAATCCCAAGTTCAATAGCTCCTTTAGCTCTGGCCCTAGCACGGACTCACAGGGTGTTTCCACACTTTGCTCAGAGTTTATGTTCAGTAACAGCTCTAGTTCAGCGACGAGTGCCAGCAAAAGCAAAGAATCAGGTCAGAAACCGAGTACTCCGGGCTTGGTGCCTTACCTTTCCAACAATTCATGTTGTTGTGCCGGGCTTGCCAGGCTCCCCAATTCAAGAACTTCAGGTGCTGAGATTCTTATTGCAGGATTTTTTGCTGTGTGAGTTGGGAGGCTGCTGCAGGGCTCCCAGACCTAGTCTCTCAAGACATCGAGCCGGCAACTTGCAAAATAAGACACCAATGGACCAAGGGACCGGTTTTGCTTTCTCAGGGGCTTGGCAGAATAAGTTCATAAAACCCCGGGGTTATGTGGAGGTCTGTTCGCAAAGAAGGCCGCATAGATATCTCTTCGCGGATAACTGGTTGAAAAGCATGTTTCCAAATTGAACACACATTTCTTTGCAACATAATAAAAACTCCCTGGCTTCGACTGACCTGAAGGGGATCAGCAGCACCGCTACCCTCGCCACAATGTCGGTGACCTTAAAACCGCTCCACTGCTGTTCAAGCCATCAACACACTAATCGCTATCCTCTCATCCTTTTTCTCGTCGTCTCCATCCGCATCCTCATTACGTTCACCGTCTCCTCAACCTTGCCATCATCATCATCATCATCATCATCACCATCACACGAAGCACCAGCACGACCATGCCCGTCGACATCAGCATCGTCCTCGCTGCACCAGTAGCGTCCTCATCACCGTCACAGTTCCCCCGCGTGGGCCTCGAGTAGTTCCTGGAGAACTTCTATCCTCCAACTTCTTGTGACTGACCCTAGTTGAAACCTGAACCCTCAAATGCAGCACGGTTCGTGTCCAGAAGCTCAGGCTCGGGTCGTCACGTACTGTCACATACTCACATTACTCCGCAGCGGAACAGTCGTGAAGACAGGTTGCTTCAACCAAAATGCTTCACATGCGAAATGCACGAGGGTTGGGTGCTTCTCCGGGCAGGCTCAGAAATAGAGCTATCGGTGATCAGTATCTGTGCAGACTTGAAGGGGTTGGGCTGAAGCCACCACAACAGCCACTACAGCGATAAAATGCGATAAACACTTCACTTTTCAAGCAGGGACACCGCTTATGAAGCATGCACAAGTGTCCAGGCAAACATAAAGCAAACCAGGGCTCAGAATTGAGAAAGGCTATTGACTATCGTGCTCGCGCGCGCGCGCGCGCCCGAGCGGGCGGGCGTGGGGGTGGGCGGGCGGGGCGGGGGTGGGGGCGGGCGGACGGGGGCGGGGCGGGACAGGACGTGCCAGGGAAGCATGGCACCGGCCGCAGAGTAACTCGCTGCGGTATATTAGTACTTTCAAGTACTTTCTGAAGTGATCCAAAGATCCAAGGTACCTTCCCGAGATCGCTTCGCGCTTTTGCTGCCGCATTTTCCAGTCCATCTCCTGGGGCGGATCAGTCGGATGCGGCATGTCGGAACAAAGGTATTCAGCGGTGTTAGATGGTTTTACGGTGTCTTTTGACCATGCTGCTTTCTGCAAACGGTATGGCAAGACGTCCGTGATTCCCAAATCCCCTTACAGCAGCGAAACTTGGTGTGGAGTGGATTCAGTTTCCCATGTTTCCCCACAGTGATTGCAACAAGGCTGCTTCAGTTTCTGAAGACAAACTCTCGGATGGGCTAGCCCGACTTCGCAGGAGCTAAGCAAAACACGATTTGAGGTGGATTCGACCCCGTGCATTTAGATTTAGTGCTGCTGCAGGTGCGAAGAGTTCGGGCATGACGCGAGGACACCAGCAATCGGCTGGATTACTTGGAATGCGTTTGCACTTCTTGGGTGGGGGTGGGGGTTTGGCAGCCTAAGTCTGTGCCAGGCATCTGTCTCTTGGATGACCGAAGAGGACAGGTTGCTGGTGATGCTGCCGACCTTCCGCCCTTGGCCGGCTTGGCCTTGAGCTCTGCCTGCTCAAACAAACGCAGATCAAGAGTCCGAGACTTGAAATGTGGACACAAGGAGTCGCGGGCCTGACATGGCCTGCATGAAGGGAAGACCGTCACAACCCTACTACTTGCATCCGGGGCTTGGCACATTGAAACCGTCAGGCGGTGTCTCATAGCAAATGACTATGCGGAATGCACCAAGTGCGAATGATGCGCCGAAGCTAAGCTGCCAAAGCTACTCTGCACAGCATGCTCAGCTGTTTTCGTTGGTTAGAGCCGCTCCGCTGCGGTAAGGCGAGCAGTTTCACTCACACAGAAACTAGCACGAATATGCGGCATGCCGTAACAGGTCAGGCTACTCGAGTTTCTTCAACACTGGTATCAATATTCGTCTGACCTGTTAGCTGTACAGGGGATTTTCCCCGCCGCCAAGCTTTTTCGTGAAAGAGCATGCCTCGTTCCATTTGTTCCCTCAAATCGCTGCCCCGATTGGCCTTCGTAAGACCGTCTGCTAATTGACAACGAGTCGGGACCTGCATGGTGCGGCCTTTCTTCACGAATCCGAGGCACGCCCCTTTTTGAGAATAAGGATGTCATCACACTCCTGCTCATCGATCTCGACACCCACACTACAGTACTGTAAAGCCCGGCATCATGAAACGCAACGATCTCGGCATCCGCACTAAGAGGTCTGAAAACAATCTCTCTCACGGCCCGATTAGCTCTCTGGAGATTTCTAACCCGGAGGTCAACTACGCGTTTCTGGAGCTGGTTACACTCGAACGCTAGATCAGGCCGGCTCTGCACCGAGAGCCACTGCAAGCTCCGCACGACCGACCGAAAGTCGGTCACCTCAGTCTCTGTGGCCCGAGCTTCGAGGTCCTTTGTCCGCTGAGGATCGGTTCGCATCGGCTGCAGCCTCCCTACTACGAAAGCGTCCTGAGATAAGAGAATGCATTCTTCATGGTCTTTCAATCTGTTTACCGCAGTAAGTAACTCCGGAAGGTTGCTCCGACACCTGCATCCAAGTTGCGAATGGGAAGCGCTCATGCAATTTTGCCACCCTTTTGCCTTCTTCAGATCCATCATGGCAAATCATAACGTCATCAACATGAATGATCATGAGCGCCCGCAATCGGCGCTGACAATCCCTAAGACAAAACAAAGCCGGGTCTACAGCAGACTTCTGAAACCCCAGTTCGGACTGCAGAATTCGAGACAGCTCGTTGTACCAAGCTCTAGGAACATCTGGCCTGTCGTACAGGGGCTTGAGAAGCTTCAAGATCTGTCCGGGTACCAAATCTTGAAGGAAAGCATTGGGAATGTCTCCTATGTACCAGTTCTTGGTCCATCCGAAACTGACCACCAAATGAAGAAAGATCATGGTCGAGACGCTCTCCATGGTGGGAAATTCTATCTGGAGTTTGCCCGTTTTCCTATCAGGGCAGAGATGCCCGCCTTGGCTTTGACCGGAAGGTCTCTCCCAGCACTGTCCTTCAATCCGGCATGCTTTTTCCTGAACACGTATCGGCTCGGGAGAACTCTTTGTGGTTTGTCCCTCTCGACATGTCTACTCTCCTCAAGACTCAAGACCTCACAACTCTTGTAGCCAAGCCAAGACTGCCACGCCTTGTCCTCTGCGGCACGATACAGCTCACGATCACACTCAGGGATCAATTCAAAGGGGATCTCCTTTTCCATCATCCGACGGAGCTTAGTTTAACTCTTCGTATTCCCCCCCCCATCTTGCCGAACAGCGTTCACACGGTGAGATTCTGACACTTCACCCTTCCGTCGTTTGACACTCACTGGAAAGTCATCAAAACAGCTATCCTTGCGAGTGCGGTTTGAAAAATCGTGATCAGCATGCTCGCCGGACCTTCTGGAATAAGCTGACGATGATCGTCCAACTCCATCCACTTAACCTCATGCTCAAGTCTTTTCCACTGACCATCGGCATAGGCCCAAGAAGTGCTGAAAGGAAACCTGTCCGGAGCATATCTTGACTCAGGAGTCCTTAACGCCCAAACCTTATGAGAAACAAGAACAGGATTCCCAAGTGAATCAACATGCCACCCCGCCTGGTTCCTAAGGCTGGCATACCCGGGCGATAACCCTCGACCTTCATCGTCCTCCATGTGGACATCGTCACAGATGTCCCGTGCAAGAGGGTCCTCTTCGAGAAGCTGAGGCTCATCCTGAGGATTATCCTGTCCGATGAGATCTTCGTATGTGGCCTCCTTGGGAACCTTCTTAAACAAGGCCATGGCTTTCTGAAGTTGGGGCTCACCGAAATGTTTCTCATCTCCCACAGGCAACCCAGGCGTCCCGATCCTGAAGGCCAACGATGAATCCTGGACCTACCAATTTGCTCTGGCGTTCACGCTTCTTGCTTCCTTGATCCCTCCAAAAGAGAACCATCTGCCCGATCTTAGGAACAGGCAACTTGCGGGTACGTTGATGGGCGGTCTTCAGCAACATCTGCCTAGCTTGAGTTTGACGTACTGTATTCGAGATTAGCATGGTACCTGTATCTCACGCGGATGGCCACATTGCTGCCCATTTCGCCTACTGAAGGATGAGAGGAGCCCGGCTTGCCGTTGTGATGCAACTCTCCAAACATACGTGGCTCCCGCCCAAACACCAGCGCAACCGGTGACCATCCATGCATGTTCTCGAACGAGGCTGGTCTTTGCACATGCAACTTCCCTGGAAAGCTTCCTCATGTCTTCACGACCCTTCGCCTGGGCGTGGCGGATGGTATTGATAAGCATATCCTTAATCGTACGTTGCCACTGTGTAGTTCCACCAATTGCACTCAGACTGCATCCGCTTGCAATCACGCGCTCCCAAACTCTTTACCCTGAAAGCCGCCCTCCAGATCCGTAGATATCCGTAGTCGCTCGCAACGGAGGTCCAGTCCACTTCATCCAAGCCTGATCAAATCCTCTCAACAACTCAGCTGGCTAATGGTCCCTGAGAAGTTCAACAGTGTGGTATGAAGTAGCTCGATCTATCACCGACAGAATGTCAGAGTCATGAATGCAAATGCAATCCAGCTGCACCTCGTCGCCGAATGTAACTTGACACGGGGGTATGCTTGACACCCTATGGGTAGCGGGCTGTCTACCGTGAGCACAAGTCATGCACTTCTTCATCCATCCAGCGGCTTCGATCACCTCTTGCTTTGCCCCTCCATGTTTCAAGAACTGCTGGATATCGGCGACACTCGGGTGCCCCAGATTGCAGCGGGCTTTGACAAGCCCACGTCTCACAGCCTCACTCACTCGGCACCTGGGGGAACCTCAAACGACACGCCCTCACCGGATAGACGACTTTGCACTGTTTCAGTCGGAAGAGCTGGCTGCTCCACACCCTTGGTCGCCGGGCCACATTTGGATTAGGCTCCTGCGAAACAGGAATCATCTCCTCGTCTTCGTCACGCTCCTGCTCTCCATGACCCTGTGCAAAAACCGCATTCCAACAGTTGAGGGCTTTCATGACTGTCTTTTCACTCCAGCGCAGATCGAGCACTTCTCACATCTCGGCTTCCAAAGTGCACCGTGCGGCGAATGCGTGCGGCAACGTTTCTCAACATTCTACGGATTCTTCCAGGATCCGTTTCCTTCAAGTATTGAACATGGCCGCAACATACTGCCTTGACAAATCGTCGTGACCTCTCCTCAGTCGAATTTGGCTTGCCACCTGTGCTTCCCTTTTTCTGTTGGTCTCGATCTTTCTCAACAGCTTGGACAATTTGATCAGCGCTGATCAACCACATGTCCTTGATTTCACTAGACTCTAGACCCGACCGACTTCGGACCAAGGACAGACTTGACCTCCGGGTTTTTTTGATCATAGCCCCAGCCAAAGCTTCAACACCCCACGTTTGACCAAAAGGAAGCTCGGCCATAGCCTGGTTTCCTCGAGCAAGTTGCATATCGAAAACACGATGGATAAACTCAACAGCTCCGTTCTCTCTCTCTCTCTCTCCCTCCACTTCCGAGCTCTCCTCTCAGCCTGAGATGCATTGCGATGCCACACATAGACTGGAGGCTTGTGAGGGCCATAATTCGACATGATCACCAAGCGAGGCTGCGAAGAGTCAATCCATCGGACCAGCTCATCCCTTGCATCCCTGTGATCGCTTCCTACACTCTCCGGCTCACCAGTATTCCAACCTCATCGTGAGAAAAACATTGACATCTGTGCACGATCTTCAAAAACCTCTAATACATCTGGACGCACTCGGGACGAAACTGGAACAGCCTCCGGCGCTGCTCCCATCATGGCCACTGTGCTGATAACACACACCTGCTATGGTAGCGTGTTGCCCAGCAGACGCTTCCGAGTGCCTTTCTTCAGCCTACTTCGACCATTTCTGATACGACGGCTAATCTCTTCAGCACTCAGCTTCTGTTGGGCAATTCCGTTGTCGCCGTCATGGCTCACTTCTTGTTGTCGGGGCTGTTCTTCTGCTCCCTCAACAACTGCACTGCCGCGATCTCCTCGGCCGTCAGGTTGGCATTGAAGATCCTCTTGTCCTCCTCGTCGGATGACTCCGGAAGAGGCTGCGCCCCGGCAGCGATCCACGACCCGTCCGAAGAGGCCCCCGGCGTCGCTTGCGGTGGCATTCCGCCCCGTTTGCAATCGCGGGTTTCCTTGCCTTTGCCCTTCTTCTCCATAATCTCGTCCATGTCCTTCTTGATGTAGCCGGAGTTCACGGGCTTCTTTTTCAACGGGTTCTCGAATTCGCCCTGCACCTTGGCGGTTGGCCGACCATTTGTGCACCAAGGGCAAAGTCTCGCGACACACCGGGTAACGACGGCATCCGTAAAACTCTTCCCTGGTCAACCGATTGGTCCTGACTACCATCGGTATCTGGCATGCGCGGCAAAACGGATGCTCGGAGAGAACATCCACCTCGTGCTTGGTTGCCTCCTTCATATCCGTCTCCCACATCTCCAGCTCCATGATGAACTGGGTCGTCTTCTTCCACCGCATCCAATGGCCGTCGTGATCGCAGTTGAGGCTGAGGTCTTCCAGCACCTTGTTCACATAGAGTGCCCGAAGGTCGGGCAGTTCGAATTTCTTCCACCCCGTCGGCAGGATGCTCGAGTTCTTCCGCGGCTTCAACACTGCCCACAGCTCCTTCAAGCGATCCACTGAATGTTGTCGGAGGTCCTCCGGTGACACTGTGCACCGGCAGGCAATGGCGCTCACAAACTCCTCCTTCCTGCGGCGCCACAACCTGCTCCATTGCTGAGCTCATTCGTGATCTTGATGATTGCTTTCACAAGTCAATGGCTGCTGTTATTGCGGAGTTACGCACTGATTGCTCAAGTCTTCTCTTCTTTCTGGCGGCTCTCGGTAGGTAGAAGACATGAGCATTTCACATCGGACTCACTTGGCATCCCAAAGGTCCTGGGAGCCAATCTCCTCGGAAGAGGAAATTTCAATCTTCGTAGAGCATTCCACGAATCATCACTGCTGTGTGCGGTCAGGCACCATCTCTCACCACTCCATGGATGTGTGGCATGTACAGAATGGGGACTGAACTGTCATAGGGACGCTGGAAGGTATCCTCCAGCCGCCCGGGAAGTTCTTGACCCCGGCCGTCCTGTTTCCAAACTGCATGTGCCCTTGATTCCATGCTGGGATCGTGTATCCACATCTGTCCTCCTTGGAACTCGCCGAAGGTGACTGTCACGGACTTGTCCTGCTTGCTATTGTTCAGGTCTACATGGGGTTCCATGAGAACCTTTTTGTGCAAAGCGATCGATGTCCATTTGAGGTCGCTCTTGTCTCTCATGAAGGAGTTGGGGTATCTGACGACATGTGGATATCTCATCGAACGTTTAGTGACCCCCTGCCACTGACCATGCACAATCACTCCGACGGCCCATGAGGTGTTGCTGGGCCCTCGGCCGTCATTGATCTTTCGGTGGCGATGTCCACGCCCGATAGGCAACATCCTGACCAACTTGACGATAGCATCATCTCCTGGATGACTTTCATGATCTCCTGTTCCCCATTGGACTCCCAAGGATGTAGAACTACTTCACATTCTGGTCCATGCAACTGCTCATCCGGACATTCGTACCTCTTCTCAAAGTTGATGTCGAAGCCACATAAGCCCGTCTTGGTGTCCCGCAGCGGAACCGTAGCGCTAAGTTGTTTAAACTCAACTCTAGCATTCGCCAAGTCCAACACCACTCCCAGCTGCTTCATCGCCCCCTTGCTGATCAGGAGAGATCACCCTAAGGTGAGCCCATTTGCTCATGCCAGGAAGGGTAACGGGAATGATCACGGCATGCATGGACATCACTCTCGGAACCGCCCCAAATCGGAACGGTCTGGCCTCGTCGACCACGTACACATCCTCTCCGAACCTCCTGAGATGGCGAAGATGCTGAATGATCCACTTTTCCCCGGCCACCGTCCTTGCACAACAAGTGTCGCTTAAATCCAAAGTATGCCTCTTGCACGTGCGATTCTCTTGACCATGTAGAGACCCGATCCAAACCTCGTGAGAAGCATCATCCGCCTGGCTCGGCGAGTGGGGCCGAACAGCTCGTCCTGATCCGATTCGCTGTCACTAAGCTGCTCCTCTATCACGGCCAAAACGTTCTTGTCGGATGATTTATGATCACGGCGATAAGGGCAAGCAGCATCTCCATGCGAATGTCCATACACCGTCTTGCCATGAGCCTTACATGCTGAACACGGCATGCGCTCCTTCATGCTGTTGATCCGCTTCTCACGATCCTCTGGGCTCTCTGTCTTGTTGAATCCAGGAGCCTTCTCAATCTGAGCCCTCTTCTTGGCCGCCTGGGTCAACAGCACTTCTAACTCTCCTTCGAGATGTTCGGCGTTCGGCTTCCGCACCTGTGTCCTCCATCTCGTCCTTGTCCGGTTTATCCAGGCTATCATCTGTGGTAGCATGTACCTGCCGAGGAGGGTGGTTTCTTCGCGGTTTCCACTGCCGATTAGTCGATGAAGGCCTGTGGCTACCATCTGTTCACCCCGGGGACGATGGCCATTAGAGCCCTCCTGAGCTTATTGTATTCGTACTCCCCCCCAGCAGCCGCCACCACTTGTTTCCGAAGATCACCCGAGAGCCCTGCTTTCTCAGTGAACCAGTAGGCCTTTGTAAGCCCTTCGACCTTGGCACCGCTCTCCTCCAATCTGTTGAGGTGATTCCTAAACTCCATATCATAAGTTATGTACTCTTGGCCCGGAGTCCTTCGGAAATTCTGTAGACATCGGCGAGCGTGGAGAAGATGCGGAGGTACTCGAGCGGCTCGAGCTCCTGCCATAAGTGTTTGTGTGTGTGTGTTAAGAGTCGCTCGACACCTTTAGGATGTTTGAGGTCCCTCAAGTCCAAAGATTCCGTCGCAAGCCATCCAGCTCCACTGAGTCGCTCCATCAGTTTCTGAACCCTATGCGAGTCATCTATCCCGGTCGATGCCTCGAACATCTTCACCCTTCTCTCGTACTCCCTCATCGGCGTGGAGCCGTTATACTCTGGCACGTAGTCCTTGCCAGTCTTAGGCGTTTCCTTCTTCCCCGAGGCACTGCTTACATCACTGTCCTTCGGATCTCTATCATCAAGTCCGTCATGATCGTGATCATCCATTGAGGCGGCCTCAGTAGATTGGGTTCCTGACTGGACGGAGGCCCTACGCTGTGTGCGGCCCTCATCCTCAGGTGCCGTGGCCCTCGAATTGCTTTCCCCGGCTGACTGATCTCCTGCCCAACTAGACCATGAGCGATCTTGGTTGTCCCTACTCCAGCCTGCCGCTCCCGATCTTCCCCAAGGGCCTGTCCACCAGCCGCCGTCGGCAGCCCAGCCCCGATGCTTCCAAGCATCACCTGGCCACGTATAGCGGTAGGCATCATAGTTCAAGTAAGCCCACCATGCATTCGCTTGCTGCTGCTGTCGATGATCGCCGAAATCACCACGGCTATCGGCTATCACCGCCCACCATGCCACTGCTACTGTAGCATCTTGCGCCGCTGCTTGCTGACTTGCTTCACTCATGCCCAGCTCCGCGCCACCAATGCGAATGATGCGCCGAAACTAAGCTGCCAAAGCTACTCTGCACAGCGTGCTCAGCTGTTTTCGTCTGGCTACCGAGAGCCGATCCGTTGCGGTAAGGCGAGCGGTTTCACTCACACAGAAACTAGTACAAATATGCGGCATGCCCTAACAGGTCAGGCTACTCGAGTTTCTTCAACACCAAGAGCCTCCATTCCGAGATCTGGTGTAATTTGATGCCCCAAACAAGCCCCCACGAAGCCGAGGAGCCCTCCTATATCCAAGTGAAGCCTCGGGAGAACTCGCCCGCCACACCCAAGTTTCGCTCCCTGCCTCCAGATCTGGACTCCCGCCGTCGTTGTTTTGACTCCCAGGCCTGGGCCTTCGAGGTGAGCAGCCGGTTGATCGCCCTTAGAGGGAAGCTTAGAAAGGAGCAGCTTGATACGGGTTTCCTTTGCATTCCACTGATTTCAAGAACTTCGAAACTTCGCAGTTGTTTGGGGACGACTGAATCTTCGCAAAAACCAACTGTCTTTATCGACCAGTGTCGCCTCGCGACCAGTTCCAAGCATGCCACCGCCAAGTCCATGTTGTCCACCCCACTTGCCAATTCCAATTTCGCTAGAGAATGCAAATGACGTTGCACGAAGTGCTTTGCACGGCTTGATATCTGTACCTATACACTGTACCCTGCCCCTCTGCCCGGGTGCAGCACTGATGTTGACCACCTCTATGTCTGGCGGACTTATGGTAAAAATCATTGCCTCTAAACCATGCATAGGGTGGTAACATTATAATGTAAGGGACATGGACCTGAGCTGCATGCCAGCTTTCAGGCACTGCTGAATGTGCGCAATTGGCGACACTTCAGCAGTTCCCGTGGGCGAGTTGGATTCTCAAATCTGCAGGCGGACTGACGTCTGGTAATTTGGCGGCATAACTTCTATGGTACAGCGGGTTGGATCATTGAGGCACGAACACAAACGCGAGTGTGCAGGCAAACAGTTATTATATCGATCGACACACTCTCATTCATGTATACATACGCATATTCATCTGTACGTGGATTTTCGTTCGGTGGCCTGGATATATGTCATTGTTTGAGTATGTAAGTTTGTATGTATGTATGCATGTATGTATGCATTTATGTATGTGAGTGTCTGTCTGCCTGCTTGCCTGAAGGTCTGTCTCTTCTTCGGCTGATTGTATGTTGATTCATGCATGATCCGTACCGGTACCTGTCCGACACCTGCATACCTTGCCTGAGCCGATATCCTAAGCAGGATTCGATTGGAGAAATCACGGAGTCAAGACAAGTGATGCCTTTATGATACTTGGGATAGACTCACTTAATAAAGGAAACGAACCGACTGCCGTGCCAGAAGCTAATCGAAGCGCAGTTCGCTGCCGCCGCAGTGGCGAAAAGCATGCAAACTCTTAGCATCGTTCTGAGGACACGATGTGACCCAGAAGACTTCCCGGAGATCCTGCCGGCATTAACTCTAGCCAAACCTCCTAGAAAACCTTGCGAAGCTGATGCCGGCAGGTGGCTCAACGCGGTTGCCGGGTCCAGCCGTTGGCTCCTTCGCGACGTAACAACATGGACGTCCCTTGACACATGCCTGTAGATGTAATTAGTCATCGACCAACATGTGCGCATACGTATATGTATACACATGTACATACATACCTATATACTCGTACCTACATACCTGCATACATGCAGACATGCATGCATGCATGCATGCATGCATGCATGCATGCATACGTTAATAACATATCACATGAATGCATGTGTACATGCATGCATGCACACGCCGTACATTGGCAGACAGACCAAGACCTATCGACCTACCTGTACTGTACCTACCTAGCTACCTACCTACCGTACACTGGACCAACACAGCTAGATGCACGATTAATGATTACACACACACACATATCTACACACTGACATTCATACGCACAGACATCAATGAATACATTATACATACAATACAGAAATGCATACGTGCATGCTGACATACATGCATACATACACCCATACTCATACATATAACTCTATACATATACACGTACACACATGTACATATACACAATATACATAAACATACACACATACATACATACATACATACATACAGACATACATACAGACATACAGATATACAGACATACAGACAGACGTACATACACACATACATACATAC